ACTCACCTCCTCGGCTTTCCAACCCTATTGCTTCATCTCCCCAACTTCGGCGGCCGCCGGACTCCTCGCTTCTTTTTCCCCTCTTCAGTTCCCCCTATAATTGAAATAAAGTATCACAATATTCCCTACTTACAAAAATCTAATCCTCAAAATTTATAATCAAATCTCAAGTCATTTCTCATTAAGCATGTCAACATTAGTTATCCATAAATTTGATGATGAAAACAAGAGGTTATTCATTCAAATAAAAGGTGATCACTGTAAGGTAAAGAACTGATACAATGCGACCCCACTATACTTCGGATAACAACACATAGCAAGAAAGTTTGTGAGAAAAATACCCTTATATATAAGAAAATGCCAAACTCATCAAATCCCGCCATCATCAACAGTAGTAGGTTCCTCAGGCTCACTATTAGTAAGGGAATAAACTCGAGATTGAATAGGATGTCTTGATTGACCTTGGATATGAGCTGGAGCTATATACTTTATCCTTTTCTACCCACCCGCAGTCTTTTGTGAAGGAGCTCCACCTGATTTTTTATTTGCAGTGGTCTTGGCTAAGTGATGGACATATTTTAATATATGGTCGGCTGACGACACCATTAGCAAGTGTTAGAGCCCATCAGGCATTCACCCTTATATTGTCTTCCGCAGTTGATACAAGTGCAACAATACTGAGTTGTACCACTGTTAAATCCACCTTAATTGAACTTAGATTTCTTCTCATTGGATCCCTCTGATTGATCCATGTGTTTTCCTTAATTAATACTCTTCCTCTTGTGCATCTCCTCACGCTTCTGGTAAGTTGATAAACGATTTTCACTCTTCTAGCTCCTTCCACTAATAATGAATATTCATTGATGTTGAAAGGTACCAACGACTGTTTAATTGAACACTTTAATCCTGAAAGGAATTGGTAGAACATTATTTTGCACTTGTGATTAACTGTGGTATATACCTTAACAGTATAGTGAATTATGTTCCTTACTGCGTGACTGTTTTCTCTCCCTAAATCAATTTAATAAATGTGTCATGCATTTATCTTTGAGCAGTTGAATCGCTCCATGAATTCCTCCGAACAAACCATCATGTTGGGTATGAACCCTAGGTTATCCTGATGTTGCCCATGTTCCTACCTTTCAATTTCTCCATCCAACATAAAAGTAGCTAAAGGTACTCTTCTTTCATCCAAATGAATCGCACTATCTAATATCTTTTCAATTGACACCAACCAATTCTCTGGTTCAATTGAATCTTCATTTTTCTTAAACAATGGTGGATACAAATCTAGAATAATCTTTAAATACTTATTCACAATGATTGCATCAATTCCGATGGGTTGTGATATGAACTTCTGAATCAGTTGAGTCATCACCACCATCATCTAGATCAAGACATTTGTGCTCACATTTAAAGTAGGTTGTACTTCCTTATTTTCAATCAGACTCCCTTCTTTCATAGTTTTGAGTGTATTTCTGTGTCAGAATAAATATAATTATTAATTTAACTTTGATTTTTTATTTTTTTTATTATTAAAATTTTCTTATAACTAACTTAATGGCTATTCTATCAAAATCATTTTAGTTAAACTTAAAAATTGACTCTGATATCACTTTTATCATGACACAGCTCGAGATTTGGAATTGATCAAGACATGTAAAGAAGGTCAGACGGTGGAAATTAAATTTTTCATATTTATTTCTATAACTAACTATTAACCAATGAAAGTTACTAATCAAATTAAATTAAAGTAATATAATTAAATTTACCTCATTACAGACTGTCCACGTTTTCTATAAACATTATTTCTTATATTGTTTATTTTTTAATAAATTAATTACACTTAGAAAGTTAGTTTGAAACAATTGCAAGCTAACAAAATCTCATTAATATTCACACTCTTAAACTACAAAAATAAAAGTAAACAGAAAATGATGTGTATGTCAGTTGAGCTTTTAATAAATCAATATAAACATTTGATATTTTAAGAATCTAATGTTATTTAAGGAAACTTATTTTATCAATAACAAATTTATATCATTCATATAAGTACAACCGTCTTAGAAACACTGTCAAAAAACCATACCACTTAAAACACTTCAATATATATAAGCAAATGCATTATAATAAGTAGGTGCAAAAACATATCATTCATGACAATATGACCGGCAAAGAAATAAACACATGAATTAAAATAAAACTTGTACAAGTATCATTAACTACTAATGTAAAATAGACGAAAAGAAATAAAATTTTATTATGTGTTAACAGTACAAGTACTCAATTCAATGTCAATTAATTTGTGATTTGTTATTTGATTTGTATTAACGTCGACTATTCTAAAGTTGAAATCCTAAAATAAATAGGGTATTCATATTACTAAAATTTAATTTATTCATTGTTTTAATTGATTATTAACTTTACATTATTTAAGTATTAATTTCATCTTTTTATTTTATGAAATTCTAATTAACTTTATTTTGTCATTAAAATTCATTAGTTAAGTTATAATATAAACCCAAATTTTCCTTACTAAAGATTGCTCGAGTAAATCATACTTCCCCTCTAGCTCGCACACTTTGTCTCTTACTCCCCTCCAATCTAAAATTCTAACCAAGAATCCTAATTTAATAAAAAAATTTATTAACATTATAATATATATATATATATATATATATATAACCAATTAAATAAAATTATTAAATTTTACCTTTATAATCCAGGTTGATTTGTTATTTGATTTGTATTAACGTCGACCCTTACAAAATTAAAAGCCTAAAATAAATATGGTATTCATTTTACTAAAATTTAATATATTTATTATTTTAATTAATTATTAACTTTACATTATTTAAGTATTAATTTCATCTTTTAATTTCATGAAATTCTAATTAACTTTATTTTGCTATTAAAATTCATTAATTAAATTATAATATAAACCCAAATTTTCCTTGTTAAAGTTTGCTTGACTCAATCAAACTTCTCCACTAGCTCGCACAATGTCTTGTATTCCCCTCCAATCTAGAATTCTAACCAAGTCCTAATTTAATAAAATTTTCTATTAACAATATACTATATATATATATAATCAATTAAATAAAATTATTAAATTTTACCTTATAATCCTGGTTGGGCTCTAACCCACAAGAAAATTTTTTTCTTCCCCTCGGCAAGTGATCATGCCTCCTTCCTACGCATGAGGGCTCCGTTCTCTTGATTTCCTTCAATCGGGCGCACGACACCGACATCAACTCCTCTACTTGAAACCAACGCCGCCGCCTCTGCTTGACAGATACGTCGTCGTCCATCAGGGCCGACTAAGTGAAAGCCCTAGCTTGCTCTCGTCGTTTCTCACATGTGTCGTTCAACTCTCCAGATAAGTTGTTAAGGTCAGCTTCGGCCACAAATTCTCTCAATCCCTCCTCCGTTTCGCGTTGATTTATGCGGCGAACTCACCTACTTGGCTTCTTGACCCTCTCGCTTCATCTACTCAACTCCTCGCTTCCTCTTCCCCTCTTCAGTTCCCCCGGCATTTGAAACAAAGCATCACAAATCATACGACAAAAATTCTATTCAATTGTCCAACTAAATATATCAAACTACATAAAATGCAAATGATTAAAACTCAAATGATGATATAGATCTTTAAATAAACAACAAAAATGACTAGCTAAAAAAGCTTCAAACTTAAATTTGATCTTAAATTTGCTCAAAAAGTAAAAAATAACCTTATATAAACCAATCAATCCAATAAAATTGACTGAACTTGTAAAATCAAACCAAAAAAAAAAAAATGGCAAGGGTATTTGGAAACGAGGAAAACAAAGAAATAAAATGGGCAAGTTAAAATAAAATGTGAAGCTGTATAATGCAAAACTCAATCACATTCAATCCCCAATAATTACAACGTCAACTTAATGGCACCCAATATCTCCCTGTAAACGATTAAAAATAAAAAATAAAAAACACAACAGTGCATTACAAGCTTATAATTTGGTGTAGCCACTGCAGTAGCCATTGTCATTTTGGCAAGAAAATGGAGGCATAATATAACAATTAGTTCCTGTTTTACATTGTTTTAAGAGCAATGTAGCAGTGTAAACGACCGAACACGAGCGAGTCCAGTCTCAGCTTCTATTCAGACTCGCTCGTGTTCAGTTCTTTTATATTTTGAGCTCAAAAAGTGTTCGTAACGTTTGTTTAACGAACCGAACACGAGCTGTTCACGAACAAAGGTTTCTTTTAACAACCCTAATCATGTAGCCATAAGACAATAAGGATTTGAGCATGATTTAAAAATTATTATTTACATTAATACATCATTTGAATCTAATTTAATAATTTTTATTCTATTTTATTAATCAATATTTTAATTGATTATTATATATATATATACTACTTAATATATATATATATATATATATATAGTATGAGTAGTATTTCGAGCCAAAACGAGCCGAACACGAACGAACACATCTTAGTTCACTTATCGAACAAAATTAACGAGCCGAACACGAGCTTCTTAACAAGCCGAACACGAGCTGTTCGCAAACAACGAGCCGTTTTGACAGCCCTAAATGGATCCTATTACAGAAACTTAAAGAAGTTATATTTAAAATATTTTTCAGATAAATTTCCCTAATATTAAAAGCTTCTGACTAAGAATAATAGTGATTTCTATTCATTAGAAGTCCTCTTGCCTTCATTCACTGACTAAATGGAGGAAAAACCATAACTGCGATATTAAACAAAGAACTGACATACCAAGAAGAAAACAAAACAAAAAAAAAACTCAAAATTGGAAGACACAAAAAGTTGAGTTATTCAGCTGGTGAAATAGCCAATAAAGCCGCAAAAAAGATATCTTTTTCCCATAAATAAAGGAATAAAACATTGAAAGAAACTTCGGTTGCACTAAAAGAAACTAACTTAACAAAACAACAACAACAAAAACTGCTCTCAGAAAGGAAAGTGAAACAAAAAAAAGAAGAAAGTACCTGCTTTCCAGGGCAACGGTAGAAATCACGCCCGGGATTCTTCACTGTCCGCGAGGTAAGCACAATGCAAGCACCATAGCCACAGGGGCACTGCATCTCCGGGTAGTTACGACGAACGGCCGTCGGCGAGCCACTACCGGGAGTGCGATTGGACCGATTAGGGCAGTCTCTAACCCAGTGGCCCTCTTCATGGCAAAGGAAGCAAGCACCCTTGTTTGGTCTCTCGAAGTTGTTTTTCTGTGCATTCTGTGCATCAGCCAGGAAAGGGATTCCCGGCGATGGGGACGATGGTTGGCGACACGAAGCAACGCTTTCCGACCCCATTAGTCAGGATTTTTATGGGTTGTTTGATAGCAGGATTTCAGCACAATTTACGCAGGACTTATCCTAAATCCTTCCAAACATCAAAAATGATATCTTTAAATTAGAGAAGCTGAAGAGCGCGAAGGCGGTGATTACCTTCCTCAATGGTCTATGATGGGAGCGGAGGGGAAGGAGTGGAAAGATGGCATTTTTTGAGGTTTTTGTACGCCGCGATCATCTTGCTTGCAGCGAGCTCTAACCGGGAATTTATCGCCAGCGTTCGGTCACGAAGTCGATGGTTTTCAGGATGAAAAGACACGACGAGGTAGACGCAGATGACGATGAGAGTTTAGTACAGTGAACAGTTATAGTTATTGGGAGTTGCAAAAGAGAAAAAGTAGCGCCCTTTTTCTCAAAAAGGTCGGTGCAAAGAGAACGGACGAACATTTTTTTCATTAAATTCAAGGCACGTGATATTCCGTTAAATTAAAGAAATTATATATATATATATATATATATATTATATATATCAATATATCATTAAAATTATGTTTTTTATTTCTAGAATACCTAAATTTTATTTTTTATATCAATACTCAAACCCAGGGAACATGAAACCCATTAACCTACACTAACCTATTAACATTCACATTAACCATAACTCCTTAATCTACAAAACCAGCCTATGACTCTAAACCCATCAACTCAAGCTAACCAATGCCCCGAGTCCATCTAACCCAAACCCTAGGTCCTACCGAGCCTAAACACATCAAGTTATAGTCGAGTCTTCAGTCAATAACAACACCGTCAATTGAGTCATTCTCCCTTCAATTGAAAAGTGGGGGTTTATTTATATTCTCCTTAGAGGGACATTTAAGTCATTTAATGAATAACTCTCGTAAAATCTTGATCATCAGAGAGGGTTTTTAATGATTTGAGAATCTTAATGGCATCTAAATTAAGTGAGCTTAATGTCACCGACTAACTTTACCCAAGTCACCCGTGCGGCTTTAGCGCTCTCTTTTAGCACTAAATCAACTCAATCCTCACAACGTCTGGACTTGTGGGCACCAAGCACTATAAAGAAGAAGAGTAGAGAGAAAGGAACACTTCACACTTGAATACTTGAATACTTTGATTCAATGTTTTTGTGATTATAAATGAGAGGAGGGGATCCTATTTATAGCCCCCTCCAAGCATAATGGAATATTCTAGAAAACATTAAATTATTCTAGTTTCTAGAGAGCTCTACATTCCTCTCTTATTACACGCATTGTCCTAGAACACTCTAGGTTATTCTTAATTTCTCTTTTGAGTCTTTTTTTCTTATGTTCTCTAAAATTTGGTGGAATCTTCTAGAACCCTTTGGATGGCTCATACATTTTAGTCTTCTCTAGAATATTTCATGCTTGTCTTGGCAACTTCTTGAATATAGCGGAGCATGACGTTAAGCTCATTGGATTCCTCTCATTGAGTTGTGCTATGATACCCCTCAAAGGACTTGGGATGGGTAGGGACTTCAAATCTTACTTGTGCAGATTTGTTTCTATTAAATGTTTTTTGTCTATGTATATATATACCACCTAATATTCTTATTTACGAAATGATCACTTAAATAAACTTTTTGAAAACTTTTTGAACTATCAAACTTATTAAGTTAAAGACAAGATCAAATCATATTGAGTTGAACAAAAATTAAAGGAGACATTTACAAACATACCAACCCAATCCTATGTATTTACACATATAACACCCAATTTTTATTTTTTTATGTTTATGCCACCCAAATTATTGATATCATATCAAATATGTCATTATTTTAACTAAATATATATAATATTTCATGCATAGGTAAGTTGGCATGTTCGAATAAATTGAATTGAAGTTAGGTGTTAAATTTGTTAATATACAAAAATTGGGTTGTATGTATGTATGTATCTAAATCTTTCAAATAAAAATTATTAGTTTGAGTTTTATAAAAATGAAAATAAAAATTATTAAAAATAAAAAAAGAGAGGTTGTTTATAGTGTCAATACAATGTTTGGGTGTGATGCATGCAATTATTCATTCAGCTCGAGAAAATATTATATATTTATAAAATATATGAGGGTGCAGACCGCATATAAATAAAATCATGATAATAGCAGCTGTCCACGTCTTGCAAGTCCATCACCAACGTCTGTTAACCTCTACAAACTAGGGGTGTAAAGGAGTCGAACACGAGAGGCTTGCTCATGTTCGGCTCGTTTATATTTCGAGCTCAAAAAGTGTGTTCATGTTCGGCTCCATCACCAATGTCTGTTAACCTCTACAGCGTGAGGAGGGGGGGGGAGGAGAGGGGCGACCACGAGAGGCTCGCTCATGTTCGGCTCGTTTATATTTCGAGCTCAAAAAGTGTATTCATGTTCGACTCGTTTGCTTAGTGAGTCAGACACGAGTCGTTCATGAACAAAGAGTCATTTTAACAACCCTAATCACGTAGCCATAAGATGTTAAGGATTGGGCAAAATTTAAAACATCATTTGAATCGAATTTAATAATTTTTATTTTATTTTCTTCATTAATAATTTTAATTGATTATAAATCTTTGTAGTCTTGTAGTAATTTTGTTAAAAAAATACTACTCATCAAAGATATATATATAATTGATTAGTAGTATTTCGAGCCGTATTTCGAGCCAAAACGAGTCGAACACGAACGAAAAAATATTTGTTTGTGTTGTTCGTGTTCGGCTCGTTAACTTAGCGAGCGAGCCGAACACGAGTTGTTCGCAAACAACGAGCTGTTTTGATAGCCCTACTACAGACTTTCTAATCTCCTTCATCTTTTACTACTAAACCATCGTGCGACCTTCATTGGCACGAAAAATTTTTTCATACAGAGTGCGGACTAAGCTCAGTGTCTGAACTCCAATAAAATCTCGTCACGTATTTTTGACTGGGCCCACCTAAAAATGACGAAAAACCACTTTATTTTGCGGTCGACCCGGCTCGAACCAGCCCGATGCTTCGAATAACTAAAAGGGCAACCTTCGCCAGTCAAAATTAGGTGATTTATCTAATCAAAATCATCACTAGTCTCCTTAATCTCGTGGCTGGTCTAATAAAAATAAAAAAAATTATATTATTTGCAATACTTTACAATAAACAATATTATTTGAAATACTTTATGTTGCCTAACATATGAATATATCGAATCAATTTATATAAAATTTACCCTTTTTATTTTTTAGATGTTTTTTAGAGAAATTATGTTCACGAGATTGACAATGACATTTTCGCAAGTCAATTTTATCATGATTATTAAAATCCTTTCTATGTATAAAATGAACAGATTATTGAAAAAGCATAAAATCTCTTCGAAAAAATAAAATTTCAGCCAATAAGTCAAAACAACACCACGGTTCCTCTTAAATAAGCTCGTAAAACAACTCCAAAAACACTTAAATAATACCCAAGTGACATAAGAAAATAATGTCAATAATACCTATATAACTACTCCACGGTTCCACATCAATAACCTCGCAAAATAGCTCTAATAATATTAGAATAATACCAAAATAATATTGGTAAATAGTGTAAATAACCGCCCGAAGTACCGCACAGAAGAACTCCAATAATACCGAAACAATACTAGTGAACAGAGCCAATAACACCGCCCGGATTATCACGCTACTACTCTACGGTTTTGTATCAATAACCTCACAAAACAACTTCATTAATAACATAATAATGTCGGTGAATAGCGCCAATAACACTACATGGAGTACCGTGCAAAACAACTAAAAAAATATTGAAATAATAACAATGAGTAGTATCAATAACACTGTCTGAACTAACGCGCTACAACTCAGTGGTTCCGCGTCAATAACCTAGCAAAACAGCTCCAATAATATCAGAATAATATCATAATAATTTCAGAATAATACCAGAATAATGTTGGTTAACAAGACGGATAACACTGTCCGGAGTACCGCGCAAAACAGCTCCAATAATATCCAAATAATATCGAAATAATACCGTTGAAAAATGCTAATAACACCGCATAGATTAACACACTACGACTCCGCAGTTACAGATCAATAACCTCACAAAACAACTTCGATAATGCCAGAATAATATCGATGAACAGTGCTAATAATATCGCTCGGAATACCGCAAGTATTTGATTGGGCTCACCTAAAAAATGACAAAAAAAGGCTTAAAAAAACTAACAAAAACAGACTTTGAAAAGGAGTACAAACACACGCATATTTATTCTTCGATTTTGTCGTTCACCATCCGCTAGGGTTTCTCATGCTTTACTCAGTGAGCTAGGGTTCACAATGCATCCAACCTGAGTCTCTCATTACTGGAATGTAAGTCTTCTAATCTTAAGGTTTAGTGCGGTAGAAGTTTTGTAAGAGGGATTAGGGTTTACGGTGCAAACTCATGTAATTCTTTTTCCTTTTAAAATAAGCTAATAAAGGAAGAGAAGAAGGAAATCAAAGAGGCTAAGATGATGGAGTTGGAAAATCTTAAGAAGATGGTAACGAAAGAGCGTAAGAAGAAGGACACCAAAGTGGATAAGAGCCAATACAAGTAATCAAGGTTATTTTTTTGTGATTAATCTTGCATTCAATCAAACCATGGTTTCTGCTAAATAATATCACACTAATACCACGAAAATATCATAATAATACCATAATAACACCATGGTGTTTTTTGCAGTGCGATTATTGTATTATTTCAGTGTTATTGAAGTGTCATAATGGTGTTTCTATTATGTTATTATGGTATTATTCTGGTGTTATTTCTGTGTTATTCTTGTGTTAATATAGCGTTATGCTGGTGTTGTTCTTATGCTATGCAGACTTTATTTTAATGATGTTATGTTAATGCTTTTATAATGATAATTTGTTGTTGTATTCATGTAGGTTTATGGACCTAATGACTATCACTTGTAGATGTCGTTATTAGTATTAAGAGATTCTCTTGATAAGGTTTGACCTACCATATCCGAGGAGACCTAGAATAAATTGATAGCAATGAATTTAAATCAATTTTTTTATCTCCATTCATATCCTTAAGACAATATCATGACGCTGCACATATTAAAATGTTGGGATTTTATTCGAATGATATTCAAATTGGGCGACAAAGAGCTAAGATTTGATCTTGATTAGGTTGTTTTGCTGATAGGCATGCTCAATAGAAGATCAACAGTAAATTGGAATAAAGTTCCCTCTTATGGTGTGGATGCCAGACAAAAAAGAGTGATTTAATGAAGATTTCAACCGAGGAGTGATATATTTTCTTTGATGAATTATTTCTTAAGTTTTTGTTATCAAATATATCTTTTCCTTCTACAATTTTAGTGTGCCCAAAGTGCTTTTACGCATTTAGTGAGAATGTAGAGTCTTT